CGATGCTGTTGCGTGACCTAAGTAATGTGTTACGTGACAAAAATTCACTGTATTTTTTGTCGTTTCTTTCAGCGTTATTTATCTTCTCTACAAAAGACAGACGATAGTGACTTCTCACCTCTTTCCCGCTCGTCCACGACTATTTCTGGTGCCTCTCCTGAAGAATATTTGATGTTCCTGCTACGTTCCCATAGTAACGAGCACAGCGATACATTACCTGTGATTGACATGCTGTGGTGAGTGACTTTTATCGGCGCTTTGTTTAATTTCTTGTTATAATTACTTCTATGTTTTGTTGTTGTTTTTTATCATGCTTTCTCGAAGGGGATTGGGGCTGTGTAACACTCTCACCCAAATCCCCTCCGAGAGAGACTTTAACTCTGGCTGTTACCAATCCATATTGATTCTCTTTCTTTTACTACTTTGTTACTTTTTATCTTTATTCCTTTCATATTCTCCCATGACTTGTTCCTTCCCTTTCTTTGTGTTTCTCCATTACTCCCTCTCCTTCCTTCACATCTTCATTTTTTAATTCCCTTCAATTCTTTCTCTTTCCTTTCAAATCCTTCCTTATTATTTACAATGTGTTTTTCCCATTACAGCTACGAGCATATGGTATATATACTAGACTCTTTCCTCTACTGCGCCGAGCGCTGCACCAAACCAGAACAGACCCTAAACAGAAGCGCGTCCTCCATCAGCAGTGTCGATGGTGACGAATCTAGTTCCGGTCTCCACTCGATCGATATAAGCCGAGTTCACAGCGAGCCTGGGACTTCAAATCCTCAACCCAACCCAAGACGCATGCGCAGTAAAGAACGTGAARACAATGTCAAATTTTTCGGAATGAACGTGAACGGGAGGGACCGGGACGAGTTTTTGCAAAACCTCCAAGCTACTTTATTGAAGAAGTCCCGGATGTTGGTTCCCAAGGCAACWTGGGAGGTGTTTACTCATAATGTGGGGACTCTGAGGATWAAGTCTGTTGATGAAATGGCTGGAAAGACCGGAAGTGGCGATGAGCATGAACTTCCGGTTTCAATTGAAAGTACCTCAAGGTAAGTCAGTCGAGCGCGTGTCACACCACACTAGCAGTTTTTGTTTCACGGGTTTAATGCTTTCTTTCACTCAGAATATCATATCCATATCCATTGGTGCAGCACTGGTCAGCGGATCAAATCATCGATAGATGGAAGATTTCTGTTGACTTATTTTCCCGCCTTTTTCTCGCTGACGGGCCAGGGGCCGAGCGGGACAGTTTTCTGGCAGCGCGCGCTGGGGTCGCTGGTCGACTCGCTAGGTGAGTTGTTCTTATTCGACTTTGACAGTAGAGCGAACGCAAGAAAACCATGAAATAAAATCAAACTAAATACTAACTAAAAGCGGCTATTTAGAGACAATTTGTCAGTATCAATGAACCAGAACACAATGAAGGTGAATCCACATGGGACCATTTTTAATTCATCTTTATTGCGTTCTGGATCATTGATACTGACAATTTGTCTCTAAATATCCGCTATTTGTTAGTATTTAGTTTGATTTTATTTCATGGTTTTCCTGCGTTTGCTCTAATGACTGGATTATAGAGACATTAATTATACGGAGGTCTTTGATATTTTCTCATTTAGTTTAAAATTCCACTCCCTTTGTAGATTCCGTCGCACAATGCTGTACTTAAGAGAGTCAGTAACTGCTGACTCACAGCAAGGCGGGCTCGGATTCGGAGGACTTGGAGGAAGAGTGGGTACTACATTGTCTATAGCAGTGAAGAGAACTCGACTCCTGGAAGATACGCTAAGAATTCTGGGAGAGGTAATACGACTTTAAAAAAAGTTTATATAAAATAGAAAATCTAAGGCTAAAAGAGAAGATACTTATTCGTTTTTTAACCATTTCGTATGTATAAACGTGTGTGTGACTTTTTTTACAGATGCAGCCATTTCAYTATAGTAATTTTCGCGCCAGGTTTGATGGCGAAGAAGGTTCCGGACCTGGCGTCAATCGAGGTTTTTTTGCCGCTGTTGCGAATGCTCTGAAGGCGGACAATAAAGTAAGTATTTGAGCTCACCTTAAAGGCCCAGTGTGCGCCATTATGCTTTGAGGACTGAAGGCGGTCATTTTCAGTTTACCTAAAAATGTACCGAGTGCGGTACAGTATCATAGTCTACCTAGTGCGATAGTGTACATAGTGCGGTACAGTATCATAGTCTACCTAGTGCGATAGTGTACCGAGTGCGGTACAGCATCATAGTCTACCTAGTGCTATAGTGTACCGTGTGCGGTACAGCATCATAGTCTACCTAGTGCGATAGTGTACCGAGTGCGGTACAGTATCATAGTCTACCTAGTGCGATAGTGTACATAGTGCGGTACAGTATCATAGTCTACCTAGTGCGATAGTGTACCGAGTGCGGTACAGCATCATAGTCTACCTAGTGCTATAGTGTACCGTGTGCGGTACAG